GGGAATTAACCCTTTTCCTCCTCGGCTTCCCATTATTATTGTTCTTTGTTGCTAGGACTTCAAATTAATTAGTTTCAGCTACTATTAGTACTTTACTTAGTGTCACCGGTCTCCCACATGTGAGTTTAGCATGTTTCTGTAAACTAAGCTAAAAGTCCATTTAACTCTGAGTTTTTGAAGTAGAAATTAGTTTGTATTGCAAAAGCAGACATAATGAGCAAAGTATCAGAAAACAACTCATTTGTAATTTTGAAATACAAATAAGCTTGGTATTTTTGATTGCTTAGCCCAACAATATTGTTTGTTTTCTGCAATAATATAATCTTATCTTTTTCATTTTACAGTTATTACTACTGTTGTTGAATTAGAAAAGCTCATGGAGAGATTTTCAGATAAGATTTATTTCTGGTTTGTTGGATATTTTTATACTTTTAGATACACGTCCTCTGATTTCAAGGCTAAATGAATGAAAATTCAGTTATATAGGTTTGTAGTCATGGCAATTTAATCACTACCCAATCTGTACTTGTCAGTGTGCAGTTTTGTTTTGACATCAAAGTGAAAAGGGTTTAAATGATGTTTCTTTTCTTTGTAGCCATTGTCAAAGGTAATGATGATTACATGGCTTATTATGTCTTCATGACTTTTTGGTAGGCATTACAGATGAGAAAATCTGCTCCCTAAAGCACTCTTGTAGGCAGCAGAAATTTTTATAGAAAACCAAAAATTTATCCACCATTTTCTCCTGATTACTCTTATGCTAACATAAGCCCTTTTTGTTGAAATCTACTTTTCCATTTTATTTCTGGGTCATCATAATGATTGATAGAGATTATTAGGAATAATTTTAATTTAATAGCTATTTCTGATTGTAAAGCTTGCTTCAGTGATTCAAATTCCTACCCTCAAAACTACTGAAACTCAAGATGTGGACACAGCACTTGCAAGGCATTATTTGAAACAAAGTGACGGGGGTGTAATTTGTTATGCTTACAGTACAGCACGCATTGATTTTTCATTAAAGAAACTGAAAGAGCTTGGCAGAAACATTCCACTGTGAACAATATCACAAAACAATAAGTAGTATTTTCTTGCATTTGTGTATTAGATACTGTTTTTACTTTTAAAATACCATTAAGATCAATCACTTTGGGGATATTATACAACTCAGGTAGACCAGTTTTGAACTTCTGCAGTTACTAAGGGCATGTTAATATTCTTTCTACATTAGTTATAAAATAATGTAATTCTTTCAATCAAGGACATATCTGTTGTGATATTTGACTCGTTTTAAAGTTTTTTGACATTTAGTCTTCTCTATTACCACCACATTTATTACCTTTCCTGAAATATAATGTCTTAGAGCAAAAATGACAATATATTATACATAAACTCAAAGAAACATAAATGTTTATGTAATAAGTTAATTGATGACAAATTCCTTTGCTATTAATATAACAATTCCTAATGTATAGTACATTTTGGTGATATTAGCATCAGGTTTTTTTAAGGAAAATAAATGTGGGCCTTAGTTTTTCCATGTTGACAGATGTCTCTCAATAAATATATAAATATGGAATATTTTTAATTTCTAAATATGTTCAAAATGGAAAAGTTATTAATATATATTTAGAGATAATGCTCATATCATCTATTAAACTATCTCTCAAAGGTTTTCATATTAAGTTTCTTATAAAGTAGGTACATATATACAAAGCCATATTTACAAAATACAGTACTGTATATTTTCTTTTTGTAAATGAGTATCAGTTTTTGGTTCTTAACTCAAAAACCCCTACATATATGTGTGTATAACTTTAGTCACAAATTTTGTTTACTAGTCCAAGAGTGTACATTGACTATTAAACTACTTGCCCCTTCAAGAGGTATTAAAATGTGATATACTATGCTGAAAAAACAAACATAATACAAACTGAAGAGAGAAGCCTTAATAGTCTTTGAAACAAGCAAAAAGATCTATAAATGAGCATGCATTTAAAAAGTGTTCTATAGATGCTCCTCAAATTATCTTGAGACTATATCCCAATAAACAGAAAATACCCTAAATAAAAAATTCATTTAAATCACCTAACCTATTGAACTTCTTTGTTTAGCAACTGAAACATAGTAGCTTATTATTTACCCTCATGGTCAGATGATTTGGAGCTATAGCCCCCCTTAGAGAATATCTATTTTTATCATAAATCATGAGCACAGAAAAGATAAAAATTTAAAGTAATTTCTGCTGAATGTGCAGTATTTTTGCACCATCAAAATACAAAAATTTGTAAGTTGAGCTATAGTAAGTTGTAGATCATCTCCACTTCAAACTATTTGGTATGGTTTCAAATAATCATTAATGTATGTCCTCGGTAATTTTCAGTGAAGCTATATGGTCAGTGGCATCAATTTCACTAGGATATGTCCTTATTTCTTTTACCAAATTGTTTATTTATGAATTGTAATATGGAAAACATCGAGTTAACTTTTAATTTCCATCTTGTTTTTCCTTTCCAGAATATCTGCTATCTGCTTTTTAGTTTGTCCTATTGCCATTCTTGATAGATATTCCTCTCTCTGTCTCTCTTCTCTCTCTCTCTCTCTCTCTCTCTCTCATATTTTGAACTTTCTTTTTGATAATGTGTATTAGTTATCTAAGCCTGATGTATCAAATTACTGCTGACAGCTTCAAACAACAAAAATGTATTCTTTCACAGTTCTGGGGATTAGAAGTGCAAAATCAGGTTACCAGCAACGGCCTGCTCTCTCTGCTGGGTCTTGGGGAGAATCCTTACTGGCCTCTTCCTAGCTTCTGGTGGTGTCAGTAATTACACTTGTTCCCTCCACTTTCTACCTCCATGGCCCCATGGTGTTCTCCCTGCATGACTACTTCTACATCTCTGTTTGCTTTTACTACATCAATGTTTGGATTAGGGCCAACTGTTATCCAGGATGACCTCATTTTAAATTAATTACACATGCAAAGACCCTCTTTTCAAGTGAGGTAATATTTTGATATTCTAGGTGGAAACGAATTTTGGGGCACAGTATCCAACCAAGAGAACAGCCTATAGCTGTTTTTTCTCCCAAGTGCATGGGATGTATGTTTTTGATTCCAGTAGTTATATGCTTAAATTAATTTCAGTTATATTAATTTAAAATATATGACATTTTGAAAATATACATTAAAAACATATATATATATATATATTACATTTGATGTTGGCTAGTAAGTTTGGGTTATTATCAAGTGAATATAAAGAACTTTTTACATAGTAAAATGGTTCTGAGATAGAAAAAAGTTCATTTGCTGTTAGGATTGAAAATTTAAGAAAACAGTGTCATATACAGAAAAGACAAGTCTAGTATTAAAATAAGAATAAATGGAGGGCCGGGGATTTAGCTCAGTGGTGCCACCGCCTGCCTCGCAAGTGCTAGATCCTGAGTTCAATCCCCCATATCAAAAAATTAAAAATTAAAAAAAATAAATGGAGAGCATGTAGACTAAATTTTTCCTTATATGTTTTGAGCAAGAACTATTTTAAATTTTAAGCTGAACATAGTAATAAAGTGACTTACAGATCACTTGTCCTTCTCTTAAATATTCTATACATCCCCTGCTCTCTCTTTTATGTTAAATATCACAACAGTCATAATTTAGCATGTGCTGAAGAATTATTTTCCAGTGTTTCCATCTGTTGTGGGAGACACTTTAACAAGGGAGGGGGACAAGAAAAAAAGAGAATAGAAGGAACAAATGAAAACACAGCTTTTGTAAATAAGCAGGGGTAGAGGGGTTGAAGGGAGGGGAGGAGAATGGGAATAACAGAAGAAGCAAAATATATCATGTACAGGTACAAATTCTCTATGTTGATGTTATAATTATGTATTTCTAAAATGTACCAATTAAAAATTTTTTTAAAAAGAATAGGACAGAAATAACAGAAATACACAAATTAAACATGAAGCCAGGGGAGAAAAAGAAAAAAAACAAAGAAAAGAAAAGAAACGTTTGCAGGGCAGCATTGAGGAAAATGTATGAGTTTTTGTTATTAACTACTCTATTTTACATTGGAATCTTGCACAATTACATGGGGAGGGCAAGTAACAGATGTGAAATAAAGCTTCAAACTAAGAAAATGAGACTATTTAAAATGCAGCTAATTTTGCTGCCTGACAGGTATTTTTGGGGGTCAGGACTTTCAGGCAGCAATGGATTTCTCATATTCACTGCACATTTCAATAACACTAATGCAAAGCAAAATGTTCTTTCTGCTTTTTCTTTAGTCTAACAAGTAGGTCAATTATACATGTTCATAGTACCTAAGACCTAAGATGCTTATAAAAACGAAAATAAAAAATACTGCGTTTCCTTAATTTTGAATTATATAAAGGCTTCATATCGGCAAACAACAATAGAACTTGCTCCAAAAATACGTATGTGGGATATATCTCCATTATTGTTGTCAATATACTTTTAAATATTAGGTGATTGATTAAAGAGCTAAATTACATATAGTCTGCTGTTTTGAGTTTCAGACAACATACAGTGTATAACTAACATTAAGATGCAGTAAACATTTCTGTTAACACCTTGGTCACTAGGGATATTATAGAATCGACATTTTCTGACTTTCATTTTGGTGGCCTGCTTGTGTACATCTACTCACAATGTAGAACACTATTTATCTTAGTTTAGATAAATAAAAGTTTCATCATTATGAGATTATATTTCCCATTGATGTAGGAATTTCATATACTTACCTATATTGTTTCCATCTTGTTTAAACTGAAATACCACCTAAAAGCAATTTTTGATGCAATAAGAATAACTCATATGTATCTGGGAAATGTCAATTGCTGTATCTTTTAGGGACTTATCAATCTAAGGAATTTTCATGTAAAAATTAAAATCAATAGAGAAGGATTCATGATTCAGTTGGCCATTTTTTACCACTTGGCTTTTCTATTTGTTAACTAAAAATATTTTATTTTTCAAGCATTCCCGACTTTGCTTTCCTTTGCTATCCTCACCCTACACACCATCACAACTAGACTTCAGTCTGTTGATCTGCTGCCACCAGGTGAGCAATTTCTTCATCTGCTAGCTTTCTTCTCTGTGGTCCGAATTTTACTTGTTAGATAATGGCATTCATAAGACTATGCATTTGCCATGCCATGCACAAATGTAGACTATTTCTTTAAGGGAAAAGTGATAACTAATATTCTTTGTTACTTCCATATTGGTGCTATTAGTATTTCAGGAATAGCTGTGTAGTGGTAAGAGTTGAACTGAGAATCTAAATATTAATTTAAGTCAGAATTTTCGTATTAATTATTCTTAAGTGATGTTAAGTAGGCCGATTCTTTGATATTTCATATAAAGAAAGTCTACCACTCTACTAACTGCACATTAGAGATAGTATAAAAATGCCAAAGAAGAAATTGAAGGAATGCACAGTGGGCTGGTACAAGAAAGAGGAGCTCAGTTATTTTCCTTTGCTGTAAGTTGTGTAGAGCAAACTGCTTCACTGTTAAGAGATGAAGAAAAAATGTGTTTTTCCTGAGAAACTGGATTCCCAAGTTCTTCTTTTCTTTTGGATAGTTAATTACATGTTGTATTAGATCAGTTTTATTTTGCAGAAATATCTTAAAGGCTGCTTTATTCATTACTTTTTAGAATTTCAAATGTCACTTTAATATAGATTCCTAAAGGCCGGGCAGAATGAAATTCATATAATTTACAATAGCTGGCAAAGCTCAATATTAATATCTTCTAAATTAATACACTTTCTCAGTATATTCTAATCTTTCAATATGCTCTTGATGTGATTTAGATAATTTGGCAAAGCACATTAATATTTGAAATTAATGATTTAAGTGAAAAGCAGGAAGGAGTATCTGTATCTCAGGTGAAATGCTAGCTTACCACATTATATTTTGCTATGTCTGCATTTATATAGCCAAGTCTCTGAATCAGTTGAGAGCTTTCGAGAGATTTTGTTGGTTTCTGAGTCCTTTGATCTCTACCTAGGGGAGAGGGAATCTCAAGCCATTGGAGGAAATGTTTATATCAAGATGTTTCTGTGCCTGAAAACTACATATGTATGTTTTAGCAATCTAAGAAACACTGTTATTTTATGTATTGTTTTGCTTATGCCAGAAAAAAAGAGAAGAGGTTTTTTTTAAAATTTCCTGTATGAAAATGAATGGAAATTGGAGAGAAAATATAAGCAAAAGCCTTAGAAAACCTTTAGTAAGGAAAATTGTCATGTGATTTTTGCCTGTGAAGTGGAAGTATGAAGACACAAGTGTCCGTACAAATACACCCACCCATGTAAAATCTATGTAGTCTTCCTTGTTATCTTTAAATATCTGTGATTTTATATTGATGAAATTTTAATCAGTTGAGAGAGCTTTACTTCTTAATTCGGTAGAAAAGAAATTCAAGAGTCATATTTATACCAATAAATAACTTTATCTTTTAGAATATAAATTTCCATGGATCAATTCATATATTCTTATATAAAATTCTATCTTGACCTGTCATCCACCTTCTGCTCCAGTGTACATGCAAGCTCACTGGTGCATGTACCCACATGCATGCCTCACTGTGACTATTCACCAGTTTGAAACATCAAGTGATCTGGGAGTTGCCACTGAGCACCAGGAAAACTAGAAGCCCTTTGTTGTAAAGTGGATAAGGCTTTAAGTTTCAGGAGATTTTTGCTTTTAGGTAAGACTCCTTCCATTCATTTTCATGTGGAATAGGAAAATTTTTATCATGCATTTAAAGGGTGCATGCATAAGTATCCCATGCTGTCTTTTTAGTTAGATTTCATTGGTAATAATTTTGTGAAATATCTGAAATTATCTTATTTCAAAAATTTTTCTCACTTTTCCAGACAATCAACATAGTGAAGCTTGCAAATATTTTCTACTAACATATATACTCTAATAAAAATTCAATTTGGAAGTTATTGAGGCTTATTGAATATGAACTTTCTCTAAATTTTACATATTTTTCTTATCATATAATTTGAAAATGAAATATTATCATTTGTGCAGTGTTATCAGAATAAATTTTTATTTCCTTTTAATTGCTATTATCTCAAAAATAGATGATTTACATAGATAAAAGTAGCTCTCTGTATCTAAGAGTTCTACATCCATGAATGTAATCAAGCTCAGATAAAAAATGTTCCAAGAAAAGTACATCTGAACATGTACATAGTGTTTTCTTGTCATTTTTACCTAAACAACACACTATGACCATTATCTACATAATATTTACTTTCTGTTAGTATTATAAGTAATGTAGTAATTATTTAAAGTATACAGGAGAATATGTGTTGGTTGTATACAGATAATCTGTTTTACATAAGGGATTGAGCATTTACAAATTTTGGGTTTTGTAGGATATCCTAGACCCAATTGCATATGAATACGAAGAGATAACTTTGCAACTGCTGTGTTTTATGGATAATAAGTAGATTAATAAGATACCTGTGTGAAAAGGATGTTCTTTTTATACATAAATGCTTAGTCTAGCAATTTATTTTTTTGAAATTTTCTGTAAAATTATATATACATATATTTGCATATATTTGTTTTAAATAATAAAACAATCATATTCAATAAGAAAAGAGCCTAATTAGTAAGTATTTATTTATCAAGTATTGCTAACCTTGTAATTTTTTTATTTTGAAATAATATTATAGCTACCTTGATATGTATACTTTGTGATCATAAATATCTTTAAAAGAATCATACCACAGTGATATATGTGCACCCATGTTTATAGTGACACAGTTTGTAATAGCTAAAGCTTGGAAACAGCCCATTGGCCCAGCAACTGGAAACTGGATAAAGAAGATGTGGGGTTCTTTTATAAAATGGAGTACTACTCAGCCATAAAGAACGAGAAACTAGAGACATTTATAGCTAAGTGGATGCATATTGAGGACATACTCTTAAGTGAAATAAATAGGACACACATGTGTAAATACCGAATAGTTTCTCTAGTGTGAGAAACTGAAAGTGTAAATAATTAAAAGGATTACAACAAATAATTGATAATTTGAAATAGGAAGAAAAGTTCCAAAGGGGTAAGGAAAGAGGGAGAGGAAAGGGAAAGGTAAGAAGGGAAAGGAAAAATTATGAGAAAAGGAAAAAACTTGAAACAAATTCTTTGTAAATAGGGAAGGGTGGAGGAGGAGAAGGGCACACAGGTAATGGGGAAAAATTAAGAACCAAGATACATCATGTACAGGTACAGGCACCCAATGATAAATGTAAACATGTTGTATACCTAAAATGTACCAATAAAATAATTTATGCCAAAAAAATAAATAAATATCTTTATCAATTCAGTGAATGAACATTAAATGTTTTACGAGAAGCCTGCTAAAGCAAATAATTCAGGTTGTCCATTTCTAGGTGGACCTTGCATTTTAAATAGGTATTTTAGGTTAAGAAATAAGCTCTCTGTAGCTAATACATTAAGTCACCTACAAATTAAAGGTTAGAATAATATTCAAATTGAAATTATTCTTTCTTTTGAGCAGAGATTTTGTGATTCAAATTATGTGTCCAGTTGAGTTTCCACATTCTCCAATTGGCTTATGTAATTATATTTCTGAAGGAATTTTAGAGTTTAGTTGGAAGATCGCTGTCATTTTCCTAAACATCTTTAAAGAGATTTCCTTTAAAGCAAATTTGGCAACTTAGAATTTAGACTATTGTTTCTGTGCCTAAAAATACAGGTGGGCCAAATTATAGGTGGTCTGAACATCAAAGAGAGTACTTCATCTTTCATAGTTTTTTAGTAATGACCATGGAAATTATAAAATAGCTACTAAATAATATATTCAGCAAAAACAGTATTTCACTTCTTCCTCAGATTCATCATACATTGCTTTAAAGGAAAAACTCAAAAATACCCTGCTTGAATTATCAAAGATTATTTTAATGAATCCTCCCTGTTTTGTTGATATGAATTTATTTTTTGATTAGGTTTAGAATGTAAGTTTGAAAATGAATGCTCACATATTTGTATGTGTTCCTCTGTTACTATCACTCACAGAGAATGTACTTTCATTTTATCATGTGTTCTTTGCTCTGGATTTAGTTATTAATTAAATTATGTAAAATAGATGATAAGGAAGTCTTTATAATACCATTGTAGATACCTTCCTTGGATACTTCATTATATATGGAATCACTCTCACATTTTTAAGAAACATTCTTATCTTTTCTTTGACTCAGAGATAGCCCTCTCCAGTGACATTCTGACCTTTGGTTTAATTTACATAGCAGGGTAATCCAGAGGACACATCTCCTGTCTTCCTGTGAGCTTCCTGACTACTTTTCACCATTTCTTATTACTTCACCGTGCTTTAATGATTGCAAAAATATTAAGCCATTACTAGGAAAATGGCTTATCATTGCCAGTAAAATCCATTACAAAAACATTTCTGTATATTTACTCTAGAACATGGATATTGAATGTATTGATTGTGCTTAACTTTTCATTCTTGGGATGACCCAATCATACAGGATAAAAACATCAGCTTCCAATAAGTTTACGGCACAATTTACAAGTACTAAGAGCAGCATAATTTTAGGGAAGTAATTCCAAGAACTGCCTTTATTTAAAATGTCAATTATCTTCTCTTTCATATTCTTAATATGCTTTTTGACTCTACAGTAATTGTAAATGAAATAGTGATTGTATCAGCAGCTTGGTGGTTAGTTTTCTTGTATTGGTGAGATGAAGGCCTAAAATATTAGGGTTTAAACTTTCTGTATTTTATATTAGGTTTCTGTATCAGTTCATCTTCCCTTTGCAAGAACAAATCACCTGACACCCTAACACTCTGATGCCCAAAATTTAAAGGAAGAGAGGTTTATTTATTTGTCTCACAGTTTCAGAAAGTTCAGTCCATAGACTGGATTAAAAATGACTCTAGGCCAAGAATATCATGGCAGAAAGACATGTCAGAGCAAAGGTACTTAGTGCATAGTGGCAAGGAAGCAAAACAGCCCTGCAAACAACACTACAGAGGAAGGAGTGGGGAACCAC